TTTTTTTTTTGGTACCTTTTCTGGTTGGTGGAAGAGAGAGATAGGGGCGTACAAGAAAGGTGAAGGTGAAGGTGAAGCTCAGTCGAAAAGAGGGTCGTGCGCCGAGCTGCTTCATTCCTCCACACCCTCTGACGTGAGGGATCCGATGGGGCCGCAGAAACCACTCACTCGGCTCTCCAAGGCCAGCTTGGTTCCGTTTTAGCACAGTCTTGGCATTCCAGATATCGAATGCTCCGAGCGTCATCACCAGCAACGGCTGACACGGACAACAAGATCAGAGTGTATGGTTGTCAGGAGAGAGAGAGAGTGCAACGACCGCATATGGCCAACAGGTGTGGCTGCCAGTGCGGCTGCCGGTGCGGCGGAGCGGCGATTTGGCCCTTTGGATAACGACGTACGAGTGGAGCCGAAGAAAAAAAGGAGACTGGCCGCGCGCCGATTTTGTATGCACGCTCGGCGACCTTGTCCTACCCACACTATTCTTACTCCACACCGCCGTATCTCCCCAACCACCACCACCACCACCATTGCCGCCATCTCTGCTGACCTCACCGCCACCGCCACCGCCGCGATGAGGCACTCGCTCCTCCTCCCCACCGCCTCGTACATCGAGCACGGCGCGTCGGGCGCGCCCATCCTCGGCCTCATCAAGGTCACCGCCTCCTCCATCCTCGAGGTCGTCATCCTCTCCTCCGTCGGCTTCATCCTCGCACGACGCGGCATCATCGACAAACGCACACAGACAAAGATCAACAAGCTCAACGTCTCCTTCTTCACCCCGGCGCTCCTCTTCTCCAAGGTCGCATTCACGCTCAATCCCGCGCGCCTCGCCGAGCTGCTCATCGTGCCGCTCGGCTTCGTCATCGTCACGCTCGTATCTACGCTCAGCGCGCTCGTGCTCGCATGGACCGCACGCCTCTCGCCCGCACAGCGCAACTTTGCCATCGCATGCGCCATCTCGCCCAACTCCAACTCGCTCCCCGTCGCCCTCATGCAGTCGCTCGTCGTCACCGTGCCCCAGCTGCACTGGGACGAGGAGGGCGAGCCCGAGGATACGGTCGACGGCATGCTCGGTCGTGCACTCACCTACCTCGTCCTATTTAGCACCCTCGGCATGTTCCTCCGCTGGAGCGTAGGCGCAAAGCTCCTCAGCACCGTCGAAGAGACCATCGCCGAACCCAGCCCCGCATCTCAAGACTCCATCGACTCCGCCGCCTCCGCCTCCGGCGACTCGACGCAGACCCGTCCGCACATCACGCTGCGCAGACCCACGGGCGAGCGCCGTCCACAACGCACGCGCTCAGGTCCGCCCGCCTGGGCACGCAGCTTCCCCAACTCGCCCGAAGCCAGCACGGCCAACTTTGGCGCCGCACGCGGCGACGACGGCCGCGACTCGGACGTCGAAGACGAGCCGCTCG